TGCGCATAGGTAAATCAATTCACTACTTTATTTCAATTTCTACGTGCCATTGGACTAGAAGAAAAAGTTCTGCGGCCAAACGAACCAATATCTCTTCTTTCTATGGAACAAGAGTCATGTGAAGCAGCTATCAAAGATCGACATGGATTGAGCCAAACATCGGATCCAATCAAAGAATACTTGGAGAAACTTAGGTTGAGTATCTAAAATTTTGGCTTTTGGGAAACTTTGAGTCAACTTGGATCAGATATCAAACAAATTGTGATGCTAAAAGTTTTGTCTTCAAGTAGTACAGACACGAACAATACATAGATAAAGAAAACACGCGTAGAAATAAGGATCTGACGAAAAGATCATTATTATAATAGATAATAATATTTAATCTGAAGGTATTGTTGCAATACTTCTTAACTAATATTTTTATAAGTGTTATCATAGCTTTAGTTCTTTTGAGATACTAAAAAGCGTATCGTTTATGATTGAAGACAATGCAACAAATTATAAAGATTTTATTCCACATTATGCAGTGTATCAAAGTCAAATGACTGGTTTTTTTCATTCATTTTTTTCTTAAATTTTAACAGAACCTTGACAAAACTTTGGAGAACTATTTAGTTTATTTTATATGACTAAGTCTATAATAAAAGAAAGAAAATTATTTATTTGACCTAATTTTAATCTATTCATTATTCTTGTTAATCTTTCTTTATTATGACATAACTGATATACTATCATTCAAAATGAATTGTTGAATTTTCTTTTTTTTGTTTTCATGACAATATTTCATTTGTTTCGATTGTTTACCTTTTTTTATCTTTGTATGTTCCATTGTTTCTCTATGATAAAACGAGTCAACTGTATGACAAATACATATGACCCTAGATCAAGGCAGACAACACTATCCAATAATCATATGTTAGTATCGAAAACGCAAGAAAAGTTGTCTCTATCTCTCTATCTCTCTATCGATTCTATACGATATCGTCATTATGTATAAATAGAATTTGATCGTATGTATATAATCACTATTGATCGAACATTCCTCGTGACACAATTCGTAAGTGATATAGATATTTTATGTTTTTGTATTTGAAAAAATAAACAAAAATTTTTTCTTTTTATATTCTACAACTTGTAATGTTCTTAGTCGTGATGGTTCTTGTCAACGATATAGATCTATACAATCTTGATTGAATACAAATATAATTGTTGACGAACATGTATTGTTATTTTGGTTCTCGTTATTCCTTACTTAAAATGATTGGCTCTGCTACTAAAAATATTTGGTTTTGTAGAGGATCACGTGACACATCTTTTAAAAAAACAATTAGATCTGGAGGATGAAAACTTAGGGAGATGCTTGGAAAATACTGGGACCCTCATTCATTATGGCCCATCTGTTAGGTTCAGTTGTTTGAGAACGATTCTAATGATCATTCAAGCTCTCTGATAAGTAAAAGCGGCGAATACAAAATGAACATTGATGATTATTCCCGTTAACTGATAATTAATTTAAAAAGACTTGAAAAGTAAATAATTAGAACTAGATGAAAGTTAGACTATTCAAAATAAAGCAGTGTCAGAATCTAGATTTTAAGCAAACAACCTAACTGCGTCTGAAAATTCATTTTAATTTCTTTCTGACAAAAGGTCTCTTTGTCCCCACTGAGTACTGCGAGATAAACTCTGAAGTATTCTGGTAAAATGTGAATTATTTTATTTTTAGAATTCCTTTATTTAATGTTCCATTCAGATTTTTTGTAGATCAAAATCCTACTCTCAGATTAAGAAGTTTTTTAATAAACAACAAAACTCACGGAAGAAAGATGAACAACAAGTTTCGTTTTAATGAATGTCAGCACTCTTTGTCGTTCAATCAAATTTAAGTCATTAATTAGAAAAATTTCACCTCATATCATTAATGCCAACATCATCAGCACAATTAGATTTTTTAAAAATAATGCTCTAGCAAGTCAAATATATTTTTTTCCATCCAAAAATCATATAAAACAACGTCAGAAACAAGATTTAACAGAGTAACTATGATGCATATTTATCGACATATAGGTCTGAAATTAATTTTGTTGCTGATAAAATAGTTAAATCGTAATCGTCTTCATGTTTTTTAAAGAGAACCCAAGAGAGAAAGAGCAGAAATCAGAGTTTTTCGTTTAAAATGATTTTTTTAAATTTAAAATGGTGAAAAATCAGTTCTTTCCTTTTTAATAAAACATTTTTATTCATGAATTTCTAGATTTACTGTATAAAACCGATATGGTGAACGGTAAGTGCGAGAGCACATTATTTGATTTGCTTCGAAAAAAAACTTCATACTACTTCGGAAGGCATCATTTAGAAATGACCACACCCTCGCTAAAATTTAGGATCTGCCACTAGTCAAATTTAGTTCTAAGATAATAGCAAGATTTCCTAATAGAATTCATTTGAATCATGACACATTCAGTAAACATAATTGTTACTTATCTGATGATGATGATCGTCTATGTAATAGTAGAATATTACATTTGTTGAATCTTATTATCAATATGAAATGAGAAAGTGAAATTGAATTATTATGTTAAGATATTTAGACATAGATGTCAAACATCTCTCTTACAAACGATGCTATAAAAGTATATATATGGAACAAGATCGGAATATCTGAAAAAATCTTTTATTTTATATTAAACTTTAGAAAAAATTTCTTTTTAAATATAATTAAAAATTTTTTTTTTTTTTTTTTGATGAAATATTTCAAATAGAAAATAATTTTTATTGATTCATAGAAGGTTTTTTTCTTATGTTAATTATCTTTTAAATGAATAAGAATGAAATATGTTTATCTTCATCATACGATTCAATGTTTTAAACGAATTGAAGATAAGATAAAAGAAAAATGATAAGGAAAACAAATATCTCTTGAAAGATGATTTTTATTTTTAAACATATAACTAACAATTATCTTATTAAATAAAATAATACATAAGTAAGTTGAAATTATTTGTTTAAATATAATAAATTCTTTTTTTTTTCAAAACAAAAAAGTTTAATTTAGTCTTTTGAAAATAAATTTTAAAAAATAAATTATTAATCAAATAAACATTTTATATAAAAAGCTAAACTAAACTTAATTTATAATCAGTTTAATGTTACTTTGAAAAATGTTTTTTTCTATTCAAACAAAAAATGAATAAACTAAATAAATCTTATATGAATCTTATTTTATTATTGAAAATATTTTCAATTACGAGTTTATTTTACATATTTATTTAGAAACAAAACCTTTAGAACATTTATCATTCTAATTATCAAAATTTTATTTCTTAAATATTTTATTTAAAGTGTTTTATTTTTATGAAAATCAAATATCTATTAGAAAATTGATTTTCATTTCAAAAAAACAAAAATATTAGAAGAAAAAGAATAACTAATATTCTCTTTAAAAAAAAATGAGTTACATTTTAACGAATTTTATTTTCAATAAAATTCGAATTAACTATCTCGCATTTTTTTGGAATTATCTCTCGATAAATACTAACGTACAAACTTGAAAAATATTGATTAAGAATATTTTCATACTGTTCCCAATATTAGTTCTTTAAGATCGGAATTTGAGAGAGTCAATCATCAAGACTTTATTTTATATCAATATTGCTTTAACAAATAAATGAAAAGAACAGTGTCTTATAATTAATTTTAATCTTGAAATCTCCAATATGATTTATCCTTTTGATTTTTTTGTCTAATAGTTTTATTTATGAATTGGATTAATGGTATTGAATTGATCGAAAGAAAAAATAACGAAGATAAAAATGAGAAAATAGTCTATAATAAAACATTCCTTTCAATCATATGAATTTGTCGAAAAAAGTCTATTTCAACATTTTCGATCAGTGAAATGAAGATATTTTATTATATAGAGAAAAATAATCCATATTTAAGTAGACCAACAAAAATAATTATTCAGATATAAAATGATCAAGAGGGTCATATGTTTGTTTATGTAGGTAGAATGTGTCTGTAGATATTAGTTCTCGCTTCATCTATAATCTTGAAGTCCACATTTTACTGGTTGATAGAATCATTTTATGGGATCCGAGACATTTTTGACATTTCTCAGGGAAATATATTTTTTCCTCATTTTTATATGATCGACATTTGTTTTTCACCATAATTGTTTTCGACATATTTTCTTTCGTCTTTTTTTTGCTATTCTTTTGTTTGCTATTTTTTCTTTCGTCGATTTTGATAGATACCTTATCAACCATGTTAGTTTCATCAATGTAAAAATGCGAGTAGGAGTATTATAATAACAATCATAAATAATTACTATCATAGATGCAATAACAATAATAATAAGAGTAGGATAATATTATTATATTGAGTATCGATTTATAATTACAATCGAAATAACAATCTTGGTATTATTATTATTCTATCTATGGTGGTGATGGTTTATGATCGTTATGATTCCATAGAATTTCTAATAATATATATGATGATAATACTACTATTCTTATGTTTCTATTTCTAAAGACAATATCATTGACAATAATCGAAGAGAGGATTGAAACGTTATCTTTTATTTGTTTTTGTTACATAGATATGAATAAATAATATAAATATAAAAAAGGTGTATTATACTCTTCTATTCTTTGTAATATTTCCGATTTATTTTTTAAGTATATCATTATGAATTTTCCTTCCGTTTTATTTCATGAAGATCTTTTTCTAGAATATTTTAATTCTTTTAATTGAAAATATTCAATATTGTGTTTATGAAAAAATATTCATTTTTTTTTCTTAACAGATTAATAGAAATTTGTAAAGAAAATCTTTATTTAATCAATAAAATATGTTTGATTATCTCATCAAAAAATGAAATAATTTATTTTAAAAATAATTCCTAATAAATCTGAATCTATGTAAACTGATTGAATATAAAAATGCGAGAAATAAAAATCTAATCTTAATTGAAATAATCTAATATGTAGATAAATATGTCAATATTATATAAATTATTCTTTATATTAATATTATATAAATTATCTATAAATGGTTATCCATCAAGTTATTGCATACATTTTGATACAAATGTAAAAGATTCAAAAAATCCAATAATAATAAATATAACACAAAGTTGGTCACCAATTGGAGCAAATCATTTATATGATATAATTAATTCAAATTTTTATTCTCTTCCATCAGCTTTTTTTCGTGTTGTTCCAAATTTTGTTGTTCAATTTGGAATAAGTGGTGATCCAATACAAAATATCATTTGGAATCAACCGATTCAAGATGGTTTTATAATAATATTTATTTATTTATTTAATTAATTAATATTTGTTTAGATCCAGTTAAAATGTCAAATATAAAAGGTACACTTTCATATGCAACAGCTGGCCCAAATACTCGTACAACTCAATTATTTATTAATTATGTTGATAATCCACGTTTAGATTCTTTAGGCTTCTCACCTTTAGGTTAAATAAATAAAATATTTTCTTTAATCTAACATTTTTATAATTATATTTTAGGAATTGTCACAACTGGTTTTGACACAGCTCTTGCTATTTTTAATCCAACACCAGGTATTATTTTAAATAAAATATTTCAATATTATACTTTTCTATATATGATTTCATCTGAAAAACATATTTCTACGTAAATATTAATAGAATGATTTCTTATCCAAGAAAAAATATTCTTTTTTTAATTAAAAATTCACTAATATATTTATTTTAATCTTTATTTAAGTTATTTATTTAAATTCATTTTTGATTTGTTAACTAAATTGGATATTATTTTAAAATTGTTTTAGTTTTAAAATAATAATTAACTTTACAAAATGAGTTCTACTAAATTCATTGAGATCAATTCAATCAATCAATAAGTTTTGTTTTCTCTCAAAACATTCAAATGTTTTATAAAAATAAAAAAATATTCAATTAGAAAGAAAAACGACATCAGAAGAGAATTAATTGATGATTTTCATTTTTAATAAAAATTTTTCTCGAAAGATCATTAATCAATTGAGTAATTTATGGAATATCGATTGAAACAATTTTTAACATTTTTATTTTAGTTTTATATTGACTAAGAAAGTTGTTTCGATTTATTTTATATTTATTGAAATTTTTTACTTTTAAATTTTCTTATAGATTGAACCGTCTAAAATAAAAATGATTGTTCCATAGAATCACTAATTAAAACAATGTTTTAAAGAGAGTTATGCACGGTAGTCCTCTTCTATCCTATAAGATAGAGTAAGGATGATACAAACAGTGTTTTACGTAGAATTAGACTATTCTTCGTATTACTAAGAGTCTTTGGTCAACAACTCCGAAGATACTCCTGTCATCTCCCTGATTAAGACGAAGTCAATCGCTATTTTAAAGGGAAATTAACTTTTGGTAAAGAAGAATCAGTATTAAACTGGTGGGAGAAATGGTCATCAAACTATGCACCACTTAGTATGTTCGAAAGAGTCTTTTCTCAATGTCGATCAGTTCAGCCACAAGTGAGCACATTTTCAGTGGAAGTCGGAAAGTTTTAGAAGAGAGAAGATAAAATTGAGCCGTTACAGTGATCATGAAATTTTATTTTTACGAAACTTTTAAAAGATGAGATAATTTGGTATTTGATTATAGTTGAAAATCAATAAAATATGCTGAAAACATGATGAAGAGAAGTTTATGTTAAGATCTGGCAAAACCGACAAATCTTAGTGTGCGATATGGTAGAGATATGAAGGTTTTTGGGTAGAGTAGAGAAGAGTAGAAAAATGTCTTTTTCTGGAAGAGTCTGGTTTTAATTAGATTTCGATTTATTATTAAATAAAAGTTCAATAAATGAGCTTCTACAAAGTTTAAATAAAATCTTTAGAATATTTTTTTAAAGTTTAAAACATTGGTTTTTCTTTTTATTAAATAAAACAAATTTCATTCAATTGTTATTGATAATTTAATAATCATTTAACAAAATTTTTTTTTTTAGAAAAAAAAAACTGAATAAAAAATATTTTTCTTAAATAATTGATTATTATTAAAGAGTTTAATTTGTTCTAGGTAGTAGTGATGGTGTCGATCAAGATCAATATTCTGAAAAAGGAAATCAATGGATTATTGATAATTATCCTCAAATTAATTTTATTGAAAAAGTTTCAATTATTGATCATTGTCCATTTACAAATTAGTTTTATTAAATTTATTCATTTATTTAATAAGAATTATTTTCTTTTTTCTTTTATTTTAAATAATAAATAATATCTCTATATCAATTCATTTTAGTAACAATTTCAATTTCGTGACCGAATGAAATAACTGATTTAGAACATTGAGAAACAAGTTTTTCATCTTTATCAATATATTCTCTATAAACACCAATAAGATTCGGAACTAAAAGTGAACATCGATATTGAAGTTCTGTTCCATGAATATGAACACATTCATGAAATATATAAAAGGCATCACCTTTACGTAATGGTGATGTCATTCTTAATAAATCATAATCATCAGTCGAAAAAGTAACATTTACATATCATAAACTAAAACTTCCATTTGATGACGAACCATCAGCAAACTGTGCATGAAAATTTCCAATCATTTAATCAGGAAACATAGAAACTTCTCGACAAAGTGGAAAACCATTTATCAGTAATAGACAATTAAAACTGATAAAAACTAATATGTAAAGAATAAGATGCATTCATTTTCTAAAAAGAAAAGTATTCGTCGATAATGCTTATTAGAATATATTCTAGGAATATAAGAAGACTTTTTCATAGTTAACATTTTATCTATCCTATATAGGATAGTTTGTTTTAATTAAAACAAAACAAGAGTAATATTCGTTTACTATATCTAAAAAGTGTTTTCATAATGATATAATGTCATGTAAATGATAAAATATCTTTTTCTCATGTGGAAAAGAATAAATATCTATTTGTTTGGATCTCAATGACGTAAAGAATCAGATTTTTTTCTCTCTTTTTCTTTTAAACTAATATATTATATTTATTTAAACAATATTAATTCTATTAATATCATAATATGCAAACAAAAATGAATATATACTTTAACCTTTAATCTTGTTCAATAAATGGAACAATCCATGTTTTTTCTAGTGAAAAAAAAAATGAACATTTCAATGATGAAAATATTCTAAAATAATTAGAACACAGAACTTCGTATCAATGAATTCATTAAATAAAATATTTATTTTTTTTTGTTGACTTGATTCCTATTTTCATTTGATTAATTCATAGGTTTCCAAATATGAATCCATTAAAGAATCATTCGATAGATTTAAAATAAAAACATGTATTATCAGATTAAATATGATGAGCATTTTTTTTTATGATAATGGAGTTTCACTTTCATTTATTATTTTATTATCTATATGTTTTAAAATAAAATAATAACCAACAGATTACTTCAACGATGAGCACGGAAACGTTCAGCATCGACAATTTAAGCACACAAAATACTGAAACTAAATAGATTATGAGTGGGTGTAACTATTGATCTCCTCTACAACCATACCGACACCTGAGGAGAAAATAACCGGGATTTGTGTCTCATCAAGTTCTGTGATATCGTTTGAAACTTTCAAATTTCTGTGTTTGAAGTCTCGTAAAGCGTTTTGCAATCTCATGAAGCTTAAAATCTGTTGTTTTCTCCACCTTATGTCCACCTAATACCAGTCGCACACCTACTAGTGAACTGCGGAGTCAAATTTTGTGACTTCAACTCGAAAAGTTTTCAAGCAGCAGCTTCAACTCAGATACCGAAAAAAAATTTTTCGACTCCAAATCCAAAAACCTTTGAAAGTTTGTTTGCATAATTAAGCGATGAATTTTCAGAAATCATAGAAGCAATGGCTAAAATAGGTTTTTTGACAAAAAATTTGAAAAATTCTCCAACTCCGACTGTGATTCCGTGAAATCCTGGTTTCGAGGTTCCGCTTCCGAAAAATTCTGCTTTTCTAACTCTGATCCCAATTCCTCTGGAGTCGAGTTTCGGAGTCCCATGCAGTTCACTAACACCTATCCCAGACCTACACATGACATTCACTCACACTCTATTTAGTTCCAGTATTATGCCTACTGAAATTGTCAGTGCTGAACGTTTCCATGTTCATCATTCCGGTTTCTCTAATCAATATGAGCCTTTTGTTTGTGACTAATGTCAATAAAATATTAAAGATTTCTATACGAATATCAATATATACTTGCATATAGATAGGATGTGACTGTGAATGTATGAGGAGATGAATTTTCTCTTCACTATACTTCTCAACCATCCGGCTCGAGATAGTCAACCAAACCTACCCCCATTATTACCCCAAATACTCACACCCACACACAATCTATACAATGTCAACCGAAACTTTACCGTTTCTGAATATAACTGAATGTGTAAATTGATTATATTTCACATTTATCTGAGTTCTGTTGCTCTTTTCTCCAACTCTTATGATTTGTAGTTTGTGCTTAAACTTATGTAATCACTTATATAAAGCACATTAGCTTATTATTTAATTGCAACAAAAGATCTCTTGCTGAAAAACAAGAGTTGAGACTAGCAAATTGAGCTTATATCGTCTCCAAGAGATGGGCCAGTTTGTTATTCGATTGATTTGCCCAAACGTTCACTCAGTCTCCTTTTATTGACAATTTCTCTAGGAATAGTTCTGGTGGGTGGGGGTGTGGGTGTAAGGTCCGTTCTATCAACATCTGCTCTTACACATATAAGCAGATTGGTTTCGTTAGAACAGATCGAGAGAGCATATTTTAATTCGAAATTCAGAGGTGATTGTACTGCAATGAACCAAGCTAACAGATTTGCTCGACGGAACCAACGAGTGGTTGAATAAATAGGTTAATCACATTAGGGAGGTGTTCGTGAATACAGATTTTATTATATGATTGTCTAAACGTCTGTTGGCTACAATTTTAAAAATGATAGATCGAATAGGTGGTGAAAAGGAGAGTAACGTTTCAGTTTTATCTAATGGGATCAGCCAGATTGATATTGATGAAGGATGGTCTCTAGGCATTAAGGAACAGAATCGTCTAAAACAAAAAGGTAGGAAGAATTTCAGTTGACATCGGTTCTAAAAAGAGAACAGATTAACAAAGAAGAAAAACCTGTAAAAACTTTGCTAATATGACATGCTTAAATAGATTGTAATTAATTGGAAAAATAAATATATCCATAGATCAATGCATTATCAAGAAACATTGATATTAGGTAGGGTGTTGGAAAAGTTTTCGGTTTGGTTTTATTAAAAAACAATAATAAGCGTTTCCATATTTCTACTATTGTTAGTACGTGGTTCATAGAGTTCTCTATCTATAGATATTATAAGTTCAGTTCAATTAAACATATATAGGAATAGATTTTAAACCGCTGTCTAGACATCGACCAAAAAAGAAAAGTTTTGATCATAATTCAGTGATGAAATTTTCTTGTTTAGAAAGGCATATCTAATTTAATATCCATGTATGTATAGTGATAGTTTACGATGATCGATTCACTATCACTTACTACAGTTTCTGAATGAGATTATTCTTGTAACGATGAATATTCATATGTCGACAATAATCTAAATATCAATAAGACGACTATTAAAAACTTTTATTATGACTGATCATCTAAGAAGGTCGAATCGCACCTTGAATAATAAGAGATACTGTTCGCATGTTATATTTACATAACATAGCCTTTTCTAATCAATTATATATGACTAAAGTAAATTGACGGATATATCAGATATTCTAATGTGATATCATTCATCTATCGACCATATATAGAACCATCATCAATATTTAGTTATTTGTCTTTAAAACGACGATTCTATTCAAATATTTTAGTATGTGATAGACCATTATTAGTATAAAATTTGACCATATATTCATAAATATTGTATACCAACTATTCTTTCAAAACATAAAACTTTACTCAAGTTTTTTATTTTCCATCTGTGTCTAGGCAATCGCTTAAAATCTATTTCCATATTTCTATATATATGTTTAATTGAACTGAGCTTATGATATCTATAGACAGAGAACTCTATGAACGATGCACAGATAAATAGTAGAAATATAGCAGGACTTATTATTGTTTTTTAATAAAACCAATGAAGAAACTTTTCTAACAGCCCTCGTAGGTTATTAACTATGTCAAATATCGTAAGAATATTTATTTTATTTTTAGAATAATATATTTTTATTGATAATACACGAGAATTATTTATATATAGTGTTTTATTATGAAAAAAGGTCTTATGATGATTTATCTATACCTTTTGCTTGAATAGAATGAAAAATATGAATAAAACAAAGTTTGTTTTTTTTTGTGTCAGAGAGAGAGGAAGAATATATGCAGAGTCATGTATGTTATGATCTTCACTTTCGAGAATAGAATGTACCTTTCAGTTTCAATGATATTCAACAATTTGGTATTGAATGATTATCAGCATGCTGCTGGTTATTTAGTACATGCTTATGAAAATCAAGAAATACTTAAAGCTACGGGCAAAAATTTCGAAGAATTAGAAAATGATCTTGAAACTGATTAAGAAAACAACATATATAAATAATGCTCGTGTATTATCAATAAAAAGATGTTATCCTAAAAAGAAAATAAATGTTCCTACGATGTTTAACGTAGTTGATAATCTATATTTTCAGATGTTTATAATTCTATCACACCTAAACAAAGAGGGAAGTGTTGAGCCTTCAGGAAAATTGCGCGGTTCGTCTAAAACTTGCAAGATAAAACTTTTTGTTGAAATCTAGTTTTGTAGGGAACGCCCTGGCCTATCTATCGATGTAAAGAAATTAATAGACTACTATAGCATGTTTTCAGAAGTCCATCCTGATATTTGTAAGATTCTCAGAGAAACTAATGCTTGAACTTCTTCTCAGAAAAGATTTTGCTTATGAAAATATGCTCTTGGGTGTTGGCTATCAAACGTTGAAAATTACAGATTTCTATCTTGTTCCTATTGACAGTTATTCAAAAAACATTCGAGTACCTTGAAATCTGGTGTCAATAATAGTTATTTGTTAGTGATATATTTCTATAAATGAATCTATTCTATTCTATTATTTAATAGATAGAAGAAAATTGATATGTGAATATTTAACCATAATGTGTAAAATCAGATAAATCATATTGATTAAATTGCTCTTTGAATAAAATATGTTGAGTAAGTTTGCAGGAAAATTTTTTATTTGAATAATATTCAACCTCTTCAAATTAGGCACTGTGAACCAATGGGAAGATTGTCAATATTTGATTTATCAATTTTATTAGAAATTCTAGTTCGATAATTTCTGCCATAAAAATCTTTGTGGAAAAGGATCTATTACTCAAGTAAAATCATTATTTGGTATCATGGGTTGAATTTATCATAATCTATCTGATATCGTCTAATCCTATTGAGAAAAAGATTGATAAAATATATAAACGATCATTTTATGATCAGTAAATATAATAAAAATCAAAGAGTTGACAAGTTAACGAGATAAAAAAAAAGAGAGAGAAAGATAATGTTAAGTAGATATTAATATTTGTCGGAAGTCTAATGGATGTTAATTGTTGATATAAGAGTCGATATGTTGATATTTATTGAATTATTTATCATAATTATAATCTAATGTAGGATTTCTATAATGATTATCATTATCGTTCTCATTGAGTTTGTTCTCCTTGGTTATTGATGTCGATGACGATGCTCTGCAATAATAAAGAATAGATTCCTTTTTTGTTTTTGTTGATTATTTATTTCTGATTGATTTAGTAGATAAATATCGAATTATGATATTGTTTTTGATGAAAAGTATAAATGATATTAACTATAGAAAGATATTTATTTTTCTCTTACTTTTCATCATTCTGTTCGATAGAATTTGATAAATTTGTAATTGATGATGAAATAACTTCCGATGATGGTTGTTTTAAATTAGAATCTTGTTGTTGATGAATAATTCGATTAAATAGGGATAATGGAGATTTAAATTTAATTGTAAAAGATGAAGATGTAAGATTTGATTTCTATGTTTAGATAAAAATAAATCTTATATAAATTATTTAAATATAAAACAAATATTGATTTATTATTAAATAAATATAATAAGAGGAATAATAAACTAACCCTAGGTAAAATTTGTTTGATTTTATCATTGTATGATATTGAAGAATTTTGTTTTATTCTTCTAGATGATATATTATTTTCTGATTTATTCAATTTTTCTATATTTTATCTATGTGAAATAGATTTTGATCGATTATTAGTAAATGTTTCGATAAATTTGCCCATAAATTGAAGATATTTCGATGTTGTTTGTCTTGTTTTATTTAAATTTTCAAATTGTCTATCATTATTATAATTATTGTTAGACAAAATTGATAAATCAAATATCGAATAAGAATAAAAAATTTGATAAAGTTTTATAATATATTCATTCTTTAAACGATATCTTTGTTCAACAATATGTTTATAAAAAAAATCTTTTTTTAAAATAATATTCATTGTATTTAAAATTAATGTAAGAAAATAATTTCGAAATGATTTATCATGTTTAAAAATGCCACCAGGTGGATCAACTAAAGGTTCGATGTCAGAACGACGCCAAATTTCAATCTTAAATAATAAATAATTAAATTAGTTGTGTTTTTTTTCTCTTGATTATTAAACAAAAAAAAAAA